TCTGGCGTGGGCTGGTCCATGAGGTCACGAAGAGTCGGAGACGACTGAACGAATGAACAACAACAAAGAGAATACATTGATTTATATAACATACAGACATCTCAATATATAAGGATCACTTTAAATTAATAAATAATTGTTGCTACGTGCTGTTGTGTCAACTTCAACTTAAGTCAACCTTCTCATAAGGCTTTGGGGACAAATGTTCTTCAGATTAGGTTTGCCATTGCCTTCTTCAAGGGCTTACAGAGTTTGGCTCTTCCAGCGTCACCCACTGGGTTTCCCTAGCTGAGTGGAGATTTGAATACTAGTCTCCCAGTGTCCTAGTACAACATTCAAACAGCTACACCCTGCAGACTCCTAGAAATACAGTATGGCGCCTGTAACTGCTGAACCCTTACCTGCAATGTCACTTACTCATGCCTATAAGAAAATGGTCTCTCTTGGAATTTGCTAGGTCTTCCAAGTGATTCTGTAGTATACTTCAACCTATCTACACTGCTATATAATACCATTTAAAACTGTATTATGTGTTCATTGTAGACTTATGTAATGCAGTTCAATGAAGTTAAACTGCATTATATGAGTCTAAATTGACCACATAATATTTATTTATTATTTACAGTGTTCCCACGCTACTTCATGTTTCGCTTTTTGCGGACTCGCTGTTTCACGGGTTTTTGCCTCCTGGCAATGATGGAGTGTGGAAGGGTGTTTCACCCTCCCCCTTAGGAGACAGGCAGCCAATCGTTTAAAAAAAGAGAATGAGGAGATAAAAGCAGTATGTAAATCACGGCCCTATAACCCCTTCCTTATAGCTAGCAAAAAAAAAAGTGCGCTGTGCCTTTAAATCTCTCCTCGCTTCTGCCTTATCCTTGGAATGTGAGATATATAATAGGTATAGCATCCCTACTTTGTGTATTTTCACTTTTTGTGGGTAGTCTTGGAACGTAACACCTGCGATAAGTGAGGGAACACTGTATTTGCCATATTTATACCCTGCCTTTCTCTACCCCAGCAGGAGGACTCAAGGCATCTTACAATGGCACATACACAGTGCCACAAAACAATAAATTCAGTTTCATATGGCATTATACGGTTGTATAGTTGAAACCTATGATAAGCTGGGACCAGTAGTGAAATAATTCAACCATGTTTGTTTGCATCCAAAGTTTCACATAACTATGATTCAGCCCGGAATATAGTCACAGGGTCTTACTATAACTATTGCAATTTAAGGATATCTAGGTAATCTGTCCCACCAAGGCACTACCTCTCCATGGCAGTGGGGTTATGTCCTCCTATGAAGAGGCTATGCTGCTGGTAGAACTGCTGCTGGGGTCTCCAGTCAGGGAGGTCCTTTCTGAATTACCAGACTAAACAAATACCCACTGGGCGGCAGCACTAGTAGCAGCTAACACTGACAGAAGACCTCTCAGAGATAATGACAGTGGCACTTTTGCTAAAGGATTTAGCATGTGCAGAACTATGTATGAGTAAGCCACTTCTGAATGTTGTTTACTGTAAAAACTTTGATGAGACAGATCAAAATGAAACAAGAGATAGTTCTGCAAGATGAAGGCCTGAGTTTGCAAGATCTTAACAGAGCTGTTATGACAAAAGTATGTCATAGTCAGCTTGATGACAAAAATGCCATAAAGGTGGTCAGTGTGCTTGTCACTGATGGTCAGCTTCAAGGCCCTCCTTACAGTACCTTGGATGTGTTTTTTCCATTTTGAATGGACTTGGTCCCAGCAGCCCTCTTTAAATTGGAATGCTTGGTCACTTTCTCAGTACTCTGCCCTCATGTATAGCTCAGCACAGTTCCTAAAATTCCAATCATTTCACACACAGTATAGTTTCCCCATTTTTATTATTTGTTTAAAGAAGGTGTGAGAACTATGACATCTTTCAGATTAGGAATGGGTAAATTTGGTCCCTCCAGGTGTTTTGGACTTCAACTCCCACAATTCCTAACAGCCAGTAAGCAGGCTGGGATTTCTGTGAGTTGAAGTCCAAAACATTTGAAGGGCCAAAGTTTGCCCATGCCTGTTCTAGTGGTTGCTGAATTGCAATGCCCAACAGGCCTGGACATCACAGTCAACAATAAAGAGTGATGCAAATTGCAGTCCAATAACTGTAGGGTCATCACAGGCTGGTGAATGCACACAACACTCATGAGTTTCCTGATCGCTTGAACACAATGTAAGAGAACATTATTTAATCAGGCTTTTGAATTTTGGTCAGATGCACTGCAGTGCCATCTGAATTTTTCAAAAACCAGGAAACCTCTCACTGCCCACCAAAGGCAAACATACAGTTTCCTACCTGCCTGAGCTGCTATCATGAGTGCTGTGTTCCCATCATTGTCTTGATGATTGATATCCAAGTAGCGGCATTTACTGAGAGTAGTGACAATGTCCACGAAGCCCTTGAAACATGCCACTAGCAGACCATTCTGCAGAAGAAAATAGAAAAGAGTTCATTACTGAGGAAACTTTAGTATCTCCTGTAAGAGATTCATTTCTGTTTTAATGACATAGCCCAGTCTTGATATGCTGCACCAAACGATCAAGACTGACCCAAGACATTTTGCTGATGGAGATTTGGAATAGGAAGGGCCCATAATGCAAATCCCTGTAGAACAGTGGTTCCCAACTTGTGGTCCGTGGACCACTAGTGATCTGCAAGTACTAAAATCTGGTCTGTGGCCTCACCCTTACTGCACCATTGCCACGAGAGCAACTGGTCTTGCGAAACCCTCTTATAGTGCTGAGGCTTATTAAATATGGTTTTCTTTGTGCGAGCAGATGGTGACTACCGAATTGCATGTTCTGTATCAGAAACTAGAGCTGATGTGGTCTATCCAATTCAATTTTCTGAATCAGCACCCCAAATAACCAAACAGAATCTCAAGTTGACCAGAAATTGATTCGTAACCCTTTTGGTAATAATGTTGGAGAGTGGTCCCTTGTCAAAATGATTCCTGGTTAAAAAAAAAAAAGATTGGGAACCACTGCTGTAGAGAAACTACCGGTAATTGAATTGGCAATTGAGTCTTATGTAACTACTGGATGTAGGACTTTATCCTCTGTCACATCTGAAGCAAGAAAATGCTTTAAGGGGCCCATCATGGTTTGTGTGACATCTGTAATAATATCTTCCAGGGTGTGGGGGTGTGGGAGTGCTGATCAGATGAACTATTTAAAAGGTACCACCAGGAGTTTGTCTTCTTCCCTCATATTGAACATATTGTTGGGCTGAAGGAGTGAGAGATTCCTAGAGAGATGTTCTCTTAAGTGTTTTGTGTGTGGTTTTCCCACGTTTGCAAAGGTCTTGAGCCCCTAAGCCAGGAGGGAGAACTCACTGTATTTTTGCAATTAAAACCATATGGATATGATTGATAACCAGAGTTAATGCAATTCTGTTGGGACCTGCCATCATAAGGATAGAAGACCCCTTTAGGAAAAGGAACAACATGAAAAAGGTAGGAAGATGGTGATTTTGCCAGCAACAGTAGTTTAGTGTGAAGTGAAAATCAGGAGAAAGGAATAGAAAGAATCCACCCTTCTGTGAAAATGAACCTGAGAGAGCATATTTCTAGAATATACCAAGAAGGTGCTGGCATGTTGATCACTGATCTTCCTAATGATCTCTTTCATTCATGCCCAAGGATGCTTTTTGTCTTGACTAAATGACTGGCAACCTTATCACACTGCCCCCCCCCTCCTGTTTTGCCATGTTTTCTCCATCATACAGGGGAACTGTCACTCAACCAGGACAGAGAGCCTTCCCATGTTCCATGCCGGTTAGGAGCAGCGCCTCCATCAGAAGTTGAGCAACATGGTGTGATGGACTCATGCCCATCTGTCCCACAACTGGGGCAGAAGCATTCTAGGATGCTAAAAATTCCTCATGTGATGAGGTCCCTAGCCACACCTTCCCAATGCAAATTGATTTATTGTTGGTACCCTTGGTATTGTTATGTAATCAGTTTCTGTATTACTTCTGGTATATAATAATATTATTGGAATCCTGGCAATGCTACAGAGAGTTGGTTTCTTAGCCATTTAACTGGGGCTTGATCCCATGTGAGCTATTGCATTATTTTCATCCCAAGGCTGTTTCAGTCCTATATGTTAATATGTTGTTTTAGGGTTACAGGGATTGTGTTTTTTTTTTAATTACCCGTCCATTGATGTCTAGTTCCATGACCTCCTGTCTGGTCACCCCACTGTAAAGCCTTTGCTTTAACTGAATTGCATTGTTCCTGAAGCAACATTGGTAGAAGGTGAGCTCTGTGCCATCATTTTCAGGTGCAGCATGTTCATAAATGGGATAGACAGAGTCATCAGAGAGGATGCTGCTGGTGTCTGAATCTTCCTTTGCCTGGTTTTCACTCTCTTCTTCATCTTCTTCATTTTCATCTTCCTCATAGTGTAGTTCTGGATCTGACTCATCTAAGGTGGGTGATGTGCTTCGTTCTCCTGCGTCGCTGGCATCGGTCATCCAGCCCACTCACAGAAAACAGCACTCGTTTCTTTGGCTGTCCATGGTTGTACCCCTTTCCCTTATGCTTCAACAAAAACTTCCAAGTATGCACTGGAGGGCCTGCAAGGGAAGAAGAAAATGTATTGTTATCCATCATGAACAAATTGCATTACCTCGTGCAGTTTTCTTCTGAGCATGCTATGGGTTTGAGAGATTGTTACTCATGTCTTACTTGTTCCAAGCCTGGGCCATCTGCTTAACATCTTCTAAGCTCATGTTTCAGAGACCCCAGAGATTCTATACATGATTGTCAGGAATTTTCCAACGAAATGGGCAATGGTAGACAACTGGCTCAACATCACTACTGGTTTCTCTCACTGCTATTTCATAAGAAGGGGGCATGTTGTTTTAGGATGCATATTCAGTGTGGACATGCTGGCAGTGAAGCCCATGGGACCCTCAGTTCCTTTGAACTAGATATATACCCAGTAAGACCTAAGATCGCACTGCAAGAACATGTAAGGGGTTATCTGTCAGATGGAACATGTCCAAAGAAGTGCAACCAAAATTGTAAAAGGTATGGAAACCATATCCTGTGACGAGTGGCTTAGGGAACTAAGAATGTTTAGCTTGAAGAAGATACCCATGTTTAAATTTTTGAAAGGATTTCACATTGAGCAAATTTATTGTCTGCTGCTCCAGAGACTAGGAACACATGGAAACTGACTACTCTCCACCTCATCATAAAGTCCAGGCAAAGTGACCCATTTCGCCACGCTTCTGGTGAGGAAAGGCGGGAACAGCAGGGCGAATCTGTTGCCCCACGCATGGCTCCCTCTTGTGACACTTTCCCCATCACATGGAGAAGTCTGGCCTTCTTGGGGAAGTGCAATGCTGGCTCCATTGGAGCCAGCACAACATGATAAGCATCCCATGTTGCTGGGGAAAGCGTCTGGTGATGCTTTTTCCCCAGTTGGGGGTGGAGCCACAGCCAACGTCATCTGATAGCTGCAGTGGGGCTTCATCCCTGAAGTGGGCCCTAGGCATCCTAGGACACTGATTTTGAGCTATGTGGTGAGGTCATAACCGTGGAACAGGCCCAGATAAGCTCTGGGACAGCCAAATACTGCACAGAGATGATCCGGGGTAAGCAGGGCAAGGCCACCTCAACATGGCCTTGCCCCATATTGATTTGAGGTTAGTATGAATTCTATCCTTTAATTTGAAGTGTTTCCAACTTTGGGTTTCCTTTGTAAATAAGCTGGTTCTGAGACTAAACTGGACTCAAATGTTTTTGTTGAAATCCCATGTTTTCTGGGTTGGGAGGCCTGGGGACATGGGATGGCACTTAGCATCCCTTCCCATCATCTGTGTTGTGGCTGGCTCAGCTCATGTGTCCTACAAGTGGGCTGTCTCCTGGAGTGATGTTGGGTAGAACAACAGGGTAATCTGGGAAGAGATCTCCACTTCCTAGTTCCTCTTTTGCCCTGTTTGACATCATTGGAATCAACAGCTGACTGGTAGTACCCATAGCATGTCCAGAGACAGCCACAACATGGAGTATTGGGGGCGGGGAGGCCGTTAGAGTCACTGTCTAGCAGCACTGAACTGTGTTTAGTATCACTGGGCAGTCAAGACTCCTTTTTGTCTCCACAGTGGCCCAGGGGGTGGGTAGTGGTGCCTGTCTGATCCATCCTGGAGGGCTGATCTGGTGTATACCATGTTGGGAATAACTAAACTGAAAACGGATTCCCTAAAGTACAAAGACAAAGACAAAGTGATCTCCGAGTCCCCATTGGGGAGATGGTGGCGGGGTAGAAATAAAGATTATTATTATTATTATTATTATTATTATTATTATTATTAAGTGGTCTCGTGTCTTTGTATTCCATGTTGGATCAGCCATGGGATACCGGATCTGTATAACTCAGTTCTAGGACATGGAACAATGGAGACAATGAAGACAAAATGAACTACTTCTATCTGGGAAGCTTGCCAAATTGAAAGACAGTGAAGTATTTGCTTATTTTAAAAATTATTATTATTTTGCATCTTAATGTTAGTGCATGCAAGTTTTATAATAGTATATAATAATGGGAAAAAGCTAGAAACTTTTTTAAAATGTGCTAATATATTTAACTATTTTCTACCAGGGGAAAAAAAGAAAGGTAGCATCAAAGTGTGCTCTGATACTTCTGTTTTCATATAGTTCATAGTATTGGATCCATATACATTAGTTGCATTGGGTCCAAATTGAAATTAATAGGACATATTCGTAATAATGATTTCTTGATTCTGGCTGAAACTAACTGGATTAGGGCAGGTATTCTGGATCTCTACTCCAATACCGAAAAAGAGATTCTATCTAAAAATTAGAAAGAAAGCCCTGATAAGAGCACATTGATTCAGAATCTGGTGGAATTTCCTTTTTGGAGGTTTTCAGAGAGAGACTGAAGGGCCATCTGTCTAGTGCAGTGCTTCTTAAACTGTTGGTCCGAAACCCAATTGGGTCCGAAACCCAATTGTGACCAATTGGGGTCACAAGAAATTTGGTAAGAGTAAAAGGTTTCTGAATGCCACCTAATGTATGTTTTAGAAATTTACATGAATCTGTTAGCAACAATGTGCAGTGTTGAAAGTGGACTCTGCAACAAATGCTTCAGCTGCAGTTCATAAAAAGAAAAAGCAGCCTGTTTAGACTTGCAAATGCTGATTTACTATAAGTAATTCTTTGATTTTATACATATTTTATATACCTATATACCCGGGATTTCATTAAAAAGTATTGGCAGAAAGAGGTCATGAATTTAAAAAAAGTGCAAGAAACCCTGGTCTAGAATGTTTTGATTGTGGATAACAGAGGGGGATAGACTGGGTGGCTTTTGTGGTGTCTTCCAACTCTATGATTCTATGTGCTATGATACACTACCACGATGCTTCCTCAGGGCTTGACTTAGGGGGATCAGCAATTTTATTTCAGTCTGGTATTATTCTTGTGCCCATTTTTTCTTTTCATTCTTGAAAACTCACTGGTATGCCAGTGGCAGCCAAGTTACTGATCACAGAACCACCAGCTTGAGTAGCACTGATTTAGCAGGTGAGCTCTTGTTTTCGGCTACAGAAGCTGGAGAGCAATAGAAGCAGCACCCCAACCACAACCCCAAACTGTTCCTTCAAAGCCATCAAGTCAACCCCCTCTGTTTAGAAGACTGTCACAAAGCCTGTCCTGATTCCCAAAATGGCTTTCTGCATCATCACCAAAAGTAAGATCTGACTGGCAGTCTAATTAGCTTTTTATGGTGCGGAAGGATATAATTTTTCCTTATCTCAGGCAGTAAAATATCCTGGGTCAGCCAATTTTCATTCCCAGAAGATCTGATCCTTAGTGAAGCTGGAATCTTTATCAACTGATCACACCACTAGGCCGAATTCATGTTGTTGCTATGTGCCTTAAAGTTGCTTCATTTTAGGGCTTCTCTAAGGTGTCACTAGCAAATATATCTTACATTCAGCAAAGTTCAGAAGGCTGCTCTTGGCTGCCCTCCTAGCGTACTTACGACCTCATCACAAGTGGACATTTCGTGTCTTACGACATTTCTGCCCCAGTTGAGCCACAGAACCTCATGCCGCCCATCACACAATGTAGTCTCACTTCTGGTGGGGCTCCATGACTCAATTGGGTGGCTGCATCCTACAACATTGCACCAACAACACAGGAGCCTCCCCGTGTTCCATTTGGAACAATGGGGCTACACATGTGATGGGGAAGTGTCAGCTGCCATGAGGTGGGGTGCGGATCACTAGGATTACCCCGCTGCCCCCCGCTTGGCCACAGAGGTTGGAGAAGCAATGCATCCTTCCATACACGCTGAAAGCGCCGAGGGAAACCTGAATATACCTATAACTGAAAGAAAGAGATGGGGTAGGCACAATAAGCAGAGCCAGCACTTGCTCCCTTCCTTGCAAACAGTCAAAATGTCAGAAAATGTCACCCCAAGCCTCAGTAACTCAGAGCGGTTATGTCATACTTGAAGAGTGAACTTAATAAGAAATAGCCTAATACGGACATGGTGAAACGCACCCATCCTTCAGCTGAATATGACTGCATGAGTGGTTGCTGTGGCTTGGCCTTTGGATCTCACAAGTCATGCATGATCAGTGGGGAGCTGATCTGCTGTGCTTTGCAACTTGTGCACATCAGATGTACATGAGCACAGAGCCAACAATGAAATAATTTTTTTTTGTAATAGACTAACAGGAATTCGTATCCCAGGAATAAGTATCTTTTTCTTGTTCTCTAAACCAGTGCTTTTCAAAGTGGCAGTCCCTGGACTCATGGTGGTCCTTGAATCATTGGTTGCCAGTCCCTGGTAAGTTTGCAGGAAAACAAGAAGAAATAATAGCCAACAGACAAAAATATGGTGGCAGGGACAACAACTCTTCTCTAAATTACCCAGAACAGAATGTCCAGCTTTACCCCATCTCACCACTCCTACTATCACAAAGTCTCCTGAGGCATACTGTATTTTGCTTTGGATGAATTATAGTCCGGCCTCCATATCCACAGATTCTGCATCCATGGCTTGAAAATATTTGTTTTAATTCTAAAAAGTAAAGCTTGATTTTGCCATTTTATATACGCAACACCATTTCACTATGCCATTGTGTATCATAGAACTTGGCTATCTGTGGATTTGGATCCTGGAACCAAACCACAGTGGATACCAGGGCCTGCAGTACTAAACGGCCCAGGTAACTCTGTGATATAATTATAGCAGTGTTGGGACTGGCAAGATCCTGGTTCAGGTCCCAGTCAGCCATGAAGTTCACTTTGGCATTTCCTTCAGCTCAGCCAAGCATACCACACAGGGATATTGTGAAGATAATGGTGGGATGTAATTGAAATAAATTAATACCATAAGTCTGGAAATTCTAACTTGGGTTGACTTATCCACAGGTCAGTATGAGTGCTATGCTTTAACTATTACCAAAAGAAAAAAAAGAAAAAGATAAAAAAGAACCATCCTCTTCTGAGTAGAGTCACCAAGAACTTAGCCCTTCCTGGTAGAACATGAAAGAAGCATCAACCACCTCTACCCTCTCTGGCATGGGGCTGCTTCTTGCTTTTTTGAGTGACTGGGTGGAGAAATTGTGGTAGACGCCATGGAGGACTGGCCCTCTGAGGCGGAGTTGATGCTTCCACTGTTTTGTGGGATGGCTCTCAACTTATCAATGGATCATATCAAAATCCATAATGTTGGCTCTACACTCTACCCTCGACTTAAACAGGAGCATATGCAGTACATAATATATATCAATAACAGATGCAGTCGATGGGCAGTCCTGTTTAGCTCATCTGGCCTCATGCCCTTAAAAAGAAGAGTTTTTTCACAAAATAAAATTATTTTCCTCAATATTTTTCATCACACTAGACCAAAGTTTTCACATGCAGGACTTCCAGGAATATCATGGTTGGCATATTAGACATATTGAGACAGGTGTCTCAAGCAATTGATTTGGGGTATCATGAACGGATAACAGACTTTTAGATAATTGTTTTATTATAGTGTTGATGCTGTAGAGAAGATCCTTGTGAGACTCAGGTGTCAAAATAAGTTGACTGGTGCTAATAGGTCTTGATATGGGGATGGGCCCTGGGGTGCTTTTTTGGAGTCCCCTCAAGCAGCAACAACTATTTCTTGCAAAATGTAACCCAAAGAGGTGAAATCCTAATCTTCAAATACCAGGACGATATTGAAGACCACACACAAAATGGCACAAAAAACACACCAACAAGCCTTGTTTCAGGAATGAAAGTACAATGAGCAGCTTCTGTGTTCAGTTGTGGTGATGCCCGAAAGTTCTTAATATTTTCAAAACAATATGGCATCAGATCAAACCACTGGCAAGAAACGAAACAGCTACACACTTTCTAAACACGATAATAGCAAGAGGAAAACATACCTGGGATTATTGCAGTTTCGCCGTTGTAGTCTGAGAAGGTGTCTCAGAAGCTAAGTTTTTGAGGCATGTCTTCTGAGCAGGTCTCTGCCAGACTTTCCCTGAAGTAGGCAGATATTCACCTCTTGTTCCTCTCCCTTTAGTGTTTGTTGCCTCATATGCTGGGTGGAGCATCATTTCCAAAATACTAAGACATGTGGAACTTTTCGGATACAGTTTCCGGGGACAAAAGAAGCTTCAGTCTTGGGCCTGAGATGGGGATTTAGACTCCTGAGCTGTGACAGCTTGCACGTTGCTATAAGCTTAGCTAGGGAAGACATCTTAATTTGCGATGTTACTTAAAACGGTTCTGAGCAGGATTTGGAGTATTTAAGTCAGAAGTTAATTTTAACCACTGCACTCTCTTTGGCATATTCATACATTGATTCCTGGCCCTGACAAGCTGAAGGAAGCGACATTGGCTTGTAAGTTCAAGAAAGTGTTTTACGCTATCTGATCTACCACACTTGGTGTTTGCTTTACGCATGTTAGCAGCTCAAGTGAACAGGAAAACTGGTCAGTTGCCAGTCGTGCATCAACGGCGGATAAACTGCCAGTTTATAAATAGCCAGAGTTGGCCTAGAGGTAAACAACACCAAGTGCCTCTAAATCCTGCATGCAGGTTCCCATAACTTGCAACTATGCTACTGTTTACTGTACAATTTGTTTTGACTCCAGAGAAGGTGGGCAGCCACTTATAAGAGTGGGCAACATTAATGATTTGAGCCTACAGCTTACATTAGCCCTAGTCAGTATGATGGGTTTCTGGGAGGGCTAGATTGCACTGGCCTACACAATGCGGTTTAACCCCTGGTGGCTCAGTGGGTTAAACCGCTGAGCTGCAGAACTTGCTCTCTGAAAGGTTGGCAGTTCCAATCCAGGGAGCTGTTAGCCCCAGCTTCTGCCAACATAGCAGTTCAGAAACATGCAAATCTGAGTAGATTAATAAGTACCGCTTCTGCAGGAAGGTAACGGTGCTCCATGCAGTTATGCCAGCCACATGACCTTGGAAGTGTCTATGGACAATGCCGGCTTTTCAGCTTAGAAATGGAGATGACCACCACCTTCTAGAGTCAGACACGACTAGACTTAATGTAAGGGAAACCGTTACCTTTTTACACACATTTTGGTGCTTCAAATTTTAGATCTGTTTTGGGGTATATTTGACATGCTGATTCCAGTTTTCCTTTGTCAGCTCTAGTTTTTGAGATACAGATACTATATATTAGCCCATTTGCCCATAGAAAATCATGACAGCCATATCTAAGAAATTAGAGCGGATGAAGTCTATCCAATGCAATTTTCTTAATCAGACCTCTGAATAACCCTGAGAACAGGCTTAAAACCAAGATACCAAGATTATTTTTGTTGGCTGTGTTTATCTCTGGTCCAGTTGAAGCAATTATTCCAAAGTTGTGGGTGAAGAAACAATTTTCTTGGACCCAATGGCCTTCCCAGTCTATGACTCTATGATTCTATTTATCCCATTCACATTTTGAACCTTGCAGTGTTTCTGTTATCACTGATATTGTATGTGTTATTGGAGTAATTGAGTAAAAATGCTAGGGTTGTCATATGTCTTCCTTTTCCCAAACATGCTCTCTTTTTCAGGGATATATTTTTCAAGAGGAGAGAGAGGATGGATGAAGGGAGGGAGAAAAAATTGGGCATATGGGTGGAATGGTTAAGACAGCTGTTGGAAGAGGGGGGAAAGGAAAGGCCAGCTTGTTTATATTTCTATATATTCGAGATTAGAAATATTTCTAGTATCAATTCTTGCATTCATATAGAAGGGATTTTTAAAGAGAGAGATTCATGAGAGTGATCAGTGCAATATGTCTCTTTATTTGCTTTGCTAAATATGGTAACCCTGGGATCAGGCTTGTAATGACACTGAAGTAGGAATGGAAATGAATTTGCATATGAGGATTTTATTGTGCTGCTTGCTGTTTTACTTTGTGTTTTATATGTTTATATAATGAGCTCATATCAATGACATCACTTTCAAAATAGGTCACACATATGCAAGAAGGAAGGCGTATTTTTGGAAATCTCAAGAGAACCACCAGCTCAGTGAAGCAATTTTCTTGAGTGTTTCTAGGTCCTATGGTCCAGAAATGGTTGGAAGATCATATGTGTCTACTCTGAGTGAGCATCCCCTTCTCTCTTTTCTCCACTTCCTCCTTCAAGAGGGCATGCCACAGATATCAGTGAGTTGCTTTAAGCTTTTCTGTGAATTAAGGCAGTGTCTACACTGGCAAAAAAGGCAGATTCACACTAAACCTGGTTCTGGTGGTCCAAATAACATATGGCTGCTTTCAATGATGATTTTTCTTTTTTGCCTCAACTCATCTTTGCTAAGCAACTTTTTTGCCTCAACTCATCTTTGCAGAGCACCCTTAGGTTCTCTTTCTGTGCAGACAGCTGTATTTGGTCTGATTTTTAATGTATTTGTATTGCTTTTTAATGTATTTTTATTGCTGATAACCTATTTATGTTAATTGTTGTGATCTAACTGTTTCTAATGACTGCTAATTGTAAGCCATCCTGAGTCCCCCTTTGGGGGTTGCAAAAGACAGGATACAAATGCTCTAAAATAAATAAATAAATAAATAAATAAATAAATAAATAAATAAATAAATTCGGCCCAATAAATCATCTATGAGGGTTAAGCGGAAAGTAAGGTTACAAGGCACATAGTTCTTGTGGGGGAATTTTGATGAGCGAAGTTGGTATCACTGCCGTGTAGTGGGAAGCCAGCAGAAGCTAAAGAACTGTGCCAGTTGTTAGTAGCTCATCAACTGGCACTGTAGTGAAGTTAGAGATGAGCATCCTCATTCTGTTTCTCTCCAAGTGCAAAGTTCACACTGTAATAAGCTACCTAAATGCTAAGGGCATGAACGCCGCTGTGATTCATCGCAAAATCATTTCAGTTTATGGAGACGATGTAATTTCAAGACAGCATGTGACAAAATGGGTATGGAATATATTGTGAGACCATGAAAAAAACTTCACAGAGCCATTCAAAACAAATGTTGGAGGCGGCTGACGATGGGAATCTGTCTCCTTCATGACAACACGCATCTGCAGACCGCTCCTGCAACACAAGAATTGTTGATTTCATTTGGTTGGGATGTTTTAAGCCACCCTTCTCAAAGGCCCAACCTCGCACCCAATGACTATCATCTGTTCACTAAATTGAAGGAACACTTTGGTGGAAAACACTTCTCCGACGACGACATGGTGAAAATCGAAGTGATGAACTGGCTGAAAAAGGTGAAGGGAAACTTCTGTAACACAGGCATCAAAAACCTGTCCCACAAATGACAAAATGGATTGAACTCAATGGTGATTATGTGGAAAAATAATATAACATCTATGCTACAATTCATGAAAGTATTATTAAAATATATTATTTGTATTTTTTAAAGAAATATTGTAACCTTATTTTCTGGATAACCCTTGTACATGGCATAGAATAATAGAGTTGGAAGAGACGACAAGGGTCATCCAGTCTCCCTTCCTCATGCGATCAATGTGGTGGGAAACACCAACCTCTCATTTTTTTCATCTCATGTCCAAATGTCTGTTGCTGACTAGCTGTCTTTCCTTGAAGCTCCTAGAATGGTAAGGAAGAGGCAGCAGTGGCACCAAAAACAGGGGAAGGGCCACCGGTGCTCATATGATGCCAGGTGGTTGGTCTGTGTGGGCCATGGTGTGGCATCTCCACAGGATTTGGCCTGGTGCATCATGATCAGTTCAGGGCCAGTCTGGAGGATAATGCATGGGGAAGAGAGATGGCACATAATGCTCCAGACTGACTAAGGTTCTAGATTAAGTAGCCAGTGTAGGTGCACCCTAAGAGGACAGAATCATGTGCATCAAAAATCTGAGAACATCTGATCTGTGCAGCACTTCATCACTCTGCATCTGCTGATATATCATAGCATGGAATCATAGAAGGGTGTGTACAAATAGAAGGCAGGATGGGCAATCTGGAATGGGATATTTGTATTATATCCATATGACATGTATGTTTCACTATCCCTGTTACCTGTGTTTGGTAAATATTGTGTGTGTCCCTTCAAGTTTCCACAGTGGGTCCACAAGCCCTCCATAAAAGTAGTTTTATTTCCGTAAAGTTTTAAGTGGAGTGGGCAGATCAAAAGACAACCTGGCAAAATGGCACTACCTAGAAGAATCCTCCACCTTGTGCTACTATGGAGCAGACCAAACTACTCCACACCGATATACTTGCCCACAATGCCCTGCCTCATTCACAGAGGAAGAATTGATTAAAGCTACAGACAATGCGGATGCTGTTGCCCGTTTTTGGTCTAAAATGATTTAGCCGCTTGTGCTCCCTCTATTTTATCAGTTTTATACTTATTTATGGAATGCTTTTGACACGAAATAAAAAAAACCTTCCCCAAACACTCTCCTGATTTTTCTCTTAAATCTAATTTAAAAGCTGGAATATTTTTGGTTCCTTTGTGGGTGGCATGTTTGTAATGTGGTTTGTGATATTAGATGGGTATAATCTTCCCACGCCTCTTCCCATATTTGCATTCTTATATGCATTTTTATTTTTTTACCCGTCAGATGTATTGCAATCCTCAGATGGTCTCTTTTCTTCCCAGTTCCTCGTTGGAGAACCACACAATCCACACACTCAGAAACTCGACCACATTTTTATTTTGTGCCTTCAAGTTAATTCAAACTTATGTTAAGCTTTTGTAGACCTAGTTTACTTCTTTGGAGAGTTTAAGGAGAAGATTTTTCAGAGCAGGTTTGTCATTCCCTTCATCGGAATATGATTATGGTGCTCATATTACCTGGAGGATATTGCAAATTAAATAAAGATATTTTGAATAGGCAGACCAGAAAAAGGCACCCATCCCCTGCTTAACCCCATGCACATAGCAGAGAGAGACATAAACAGCACAGATTTCACATTGATTCACTTGATAGGTTTATTTTCAAATATCCAAAAAGTTAAAGTATGTTTTCCCACAGTTCAATGCAAACAAGAATGATATGTGTGATAGAATTTATTTATAGTACACCCCCATTATCCACAGATTAGAAATCACAATCTTATTTACCCACAACCCAGAAAATATTTTCCTCCAGAAGTGGTTGTGGGCCTCTCTAGGTCTCCAAGGGCAAATCTATGTTATGCTTCCAGCCCAAGTATAATAAAAATATAGGTTTCGCTATTATCCATGGTTTTAGGGATTGAGAGATCTTGAAAACTAACCCCTGGATATGTGGGTCATACTGTACTTCAAAGCATTCATAAGCCACTCATTTTGTAATGACTTCTTGGTGGTTCACAAAAACATACTATTTAATATTGGAAGCATTTCTATATAGTATCTATAGCCTAAAAGACCACCAATGAGGGAAAACACATCCACATAGTAATGTGTTTTTATTAAAGCAGATGTAGACTAATCAAAATAGCAAGCAAAAATTATATATGTAAAGCCAGAA